AAAAGAGACTAAGGTTTGGGCTTTTAACTCTGATGGCTGGTGTATTATCTATCACTGTATACCAAATGACCACAACCTTACAGGTTTAGTACAACACACCTTTATTATCTCACAGTTTCTACAAGTCAGGGCTGGGCATGGCTTAACTGGGCTCTTCACTTCAGGGTCTCACAAGGCTGCAGTCAAGGTGTTGGCAGGGCTTTGGTCTCAGATGAGGCTTGTCTGGGGAAGGATCCACTTTCAAGCTTCCACAGTGATGACAGAATCCAGTTCCTTGCAGCTGTAGGACCAAAGGCTCCATTTCTTTTTTGGCTGGGTGTTGCCTGGAAGTCTTTGTAGGTTGTTGGTTAGAGCCTACTCTAAGTTCCTAACAGCTGCCCATAGTCCCTGGCCATGTGGAACTCCACAACATGGCTGCCTGCTTCCTCAAAGCTAGCAAGAAAGAGAACGAGACACCAGTAAGACATGCCACAATCTCCTGCAATGTGATCATGCAATCACGTGCACATAGTCACGTACATTCCGTCACCTTGTATATTCTATTTATTTAAAGCAAGTCATAGGTCTCACCTCTACTCAAGGGGAAGCAATCACAAAGGGCATGAACACCAGGAGGCAGGAAGTATTAGAGCACCCTAGAGTCTGTCTGTCACAGCAAAGCAGGAGAGGGTTGTATTGGGATGGCCTGTCCTTCCACAAGTCAGCCATGTGAAAGAAACCCAACCTGAGTGGTCTTCGACCTTGCTCCAAAAGGATACCAGGAGAAGCAAGGAGACCTTGAAGAGAATGAGGCTGGAGATTTTCGATGGACACCCAAGGGTGGGACGCAGGAGGAATCATGAGCCACTGGCTGAGTAAATGCATTAGAGGACTGAAGGGGGCCAAGCCAAGGAATCCCAGTGATGGAGCCCTGGGGCACTCAGCCCCTTGCAGCCTGACATCAGGGTGGGAAAGTACCAACTGATGTTCTCTGCCTCTCAGCACTCTTCATTTCTGCCCCTGACTGCAAGGAACAGAAATCCCTGTCAGCAAGCTGGGGAGGACGGTCAGAGAGAAAAAGAGAGTCCTCCTTCCTCCTTCCCACAGTAGACATCCTGTCTGGAGCAGACTGACACTGACAGAGAAGCTTTCACAATAAATGACAGCTGAAATTTGATTCTTATGTAAAACAGTACATTTTAAATATTCAAGTGGCTAGAATTCTCTACTCCCTGAAAGCAACTTACTTGAGATTTTAAATCAGAAGCTGGGGACATCTAGTCCTACTGAGGATGTCTGTCTGGATAGGACAGTTGTGAGGAGAGAATGAGGTTGTTTTCTTTGAATTCTATGAGTCCTGCTTATTTAAGTACAAGTAGCAAAGATTTTGAAAACACAAAAAGAGAAAGTGCTATATTATTTTTTTAATAAAGATTTTCTTTAGTTATGAGAGAGAGAGAGAGAGAGAGAGAGCATGAGAGAGCACAAGCAGGGGGAGCTGCAGAGGGAGAGGGAGAAGCAGGCTCCCCGCTGAGCAGGGAGCTGGTTGTGGGGCTCAATCCCAGGGCCCCGGGATCATGACCTGAGCCGAAGGCAGACGCTTAATCAACTGAGTCACCCAGGCTCCCCAGTGCTATATTATTTTTGTGCTCTCCATGTTGCATACACTCATGCTTGAGAAATTGAGCCATTAAATTCCTAACACCATGGGATGCTTGGAGAAGAACCGGGATTTTTCTAAGTGCCCATCTTAGAAAAGTGTTCTATCCCCAAATTCTAATTAAAGAACCATGGCTGTAAACCAGTTTTTATTTAGCTATTTTAACTAACTCCCTTTTTCTACTTAAATAAATGCATTAAAAAATAAATGTCATCACTGTACATTTTTGCGCAGTATTATTTGTTACAATAAAAATAACCACAAGTAAATGTAATTTTATATGAAAGTCATTGCATATTAAATAAATAAGAAATATCTGTAGCAATAAATCTAGTTGACTATTTAATGGCAAGAATCAGTATGATTATAACTGGTTAAGTGGTGAAGGGATTTTGTCTGAGTACCACTTACTTAAAATGAAGGCAACATTTCATATCAATAAGGTAGCTTTTTCAAAATTTAAGCGATATTAAGAATCTCAAGTCACAAAAGGTTCATAGGATTTTATCTGATAAGATTTGACATGTGTCAGAGTAAAAAAAAAAATCATCAGAGTTACCAAACATAGGAAAGAAAGGAAGGAAGAAAGAAGGAGGGAGGGAGGGAAGGGAGGAAGGAAGAGTTATGGGTTGATGCATGTGCCTGGTAAGGAAGTACCCAAGAGAGGAAATTCATTAAGAAATCACTGAGTGGGGAAAGTAAGGATTTTTCCACCTAGTAAGAAGGACATTTCATGGTGGTTATGTAAACTGAAGACTGAAACCTAGCACTCTGGATGGGGAAAACGAGTTGCTTAGAACAAGTCCTGCTGTTCAAAGTTTATAATCATTTATCAGCTTCAGTTGGTTGAATCAGTTGTTATGAGACACAATATTCAGTTTAATTTATTTCCTAGAAATATTTGCCTTTCACACTTAAAATTATTTGCCAGCCAAAATTATAGGAAAAAACTGATGAAGAAATTTTGGTCTTCAAAATGCCATTAAAATTTGATATAATGGAGAGGTGTGTGTGTGTAAGCGTCTAAAAATGAAATGTAAAATTCTTCCAAATGCATTTTAATAAAATCTGCAAATAAATGGTAAAATGGTTTCATATCCTTACACTGCTACTATCTGGTTTAAGAAAATAGGAAGAAATCTTCTCAAGCCTTAAATGTGTCATTTCATAATTTTTCAAATGTTTTCAGCTATATCTTCAAATGAGTTCATAACCAGCTTATGTGAACTATGCAAAGAATCCAGCTCATCAAGATGAATACACACACCTCAACAGAAATTACCTTGCAAATTCAACACTAATTGTAGCAAGATAATTTGCTTCTTCATTGTAGGGTCTCCCTATCTTTCTTACAAAATCATGGTGACTTTATTCAGGAATGGTGTAGTGCACAACTGAAAAAAATGATAGTTTCTAGCTTTTCTTATGGATGGAAATGGCAATGTGACATGGTTCTGGCCAATGAGACTTAAGAGATTCTTGGGAATGTGTCAATTTCTACCTTCCTCTTTGTTATCTTTCTTCTGCCTCCTGATGGTGGAGCCCCAACTTGCTCCTACCATACAGCTCCCATGAGGATGAAATCCTAGGTAGTTATGGATGGCTGAGCAGAAAGATGGGAAGGAGGAGCTCAAATGTCAAAGAGGACAATGAGCCATGATCTGGGGAACCTCTCCTGGATAGTCTGCATCCCCTGTTTCGGGAGAAAAGAAATCTCAGTCATCTCTGCTCCAGACCATAGATCTGAGATGCACTTCCCTGTTCACTAACTTCAGGGTCAGCCTGGGCTGGGGAGGGTGAGGAATTGGGAAATTCCTGGACTTCACCCTTGAAGCAAGCTTAGTACCGAGAGTCATTTGCCGTCTAGAGCACTAGGACTCTGAAAAGGGCTGAGGATATTCCAGTCAATACACAGGAGCATGGATTTAGAATACATGTAGAAAAACTACACATAGAGCCCAGAGATGAACCTAGACATGAAATACATTTTCCTATAAAGGGGGTGGGAGAAGATGTTGGGCAAAGAACACAGATTTTTATGAATTCTAATATATGAGAGACTTTATGCTGGGCACATTATATAGACTTATATACATGACTTAATATATGACTAAATCCTCACAGAAATTCTGAAAACCTCTTTGTTATCATTTTATATATGAAAAACTGGTTATTTTAACTGATTTTCCCACAAATTCCTTCTCAGACTCAGAAGAGGTGTGAGAGAATTCCACTGACCAACATCCTTCTTTGACAGTTTGTTCAAAGCAGGTCACAGACCCAGAGGAAGGTCTGGACCATGAGGGTTTTCCTCAGTGATGATGACGTTGGCCGTGGGGATGGAGATGATGACAAAGTGACAGACGATGGCCCTGATGCACACCTGACCCAGATGCCAAGAGACTTGGATTCTAGTCCTACTTCTTCTGCTGACATGACGAGTGATCTGTGGTAGGCTCCTTCAGTAGTATCACCTCATTTGGAGAACAAAAAGGTTGGACTAAAATTCTCTCCAAGGATTTTATGAGTTTCTTAAATACCCCTGGCTTAGATTTGCTCCTCTCTCAGGGGACAGCCTTGCGACCTTCAGGAAATTGAGAAAATATGGAGCACATCATGCAGCCAGCTATTGCTGCAGGCCACACTTCCCAGAGCCATCTTAATCCCTGCCCTTCTGAGCAGAAGCTGTTCTCTAAGCGATCTTGAAAGGAATGCTAAAGGGGCAACAGTGTCCCCTCAATACCCAGTACTTCCCAGCATGTGAGCTTGTCTGCAGCCTTGATGGCTGTTCCCAAGGTGTGCCTGGACTTGCCTGAGCATGAAGTTATTTAGGAAGATATGGAGCCAAAGGCAGAGAAGAAAGAGGCACCCAAAGAAGTGACAGTTGGGCAGCAAGTCCCCATAGGTTGCTTTCAGTTTGCCAAGAGCCTGGGAAATGGGAAAATAAAGAAACTCTCCCAAATCCAAAATGAACATCATTGTTATCCCTAGTTACTGAGTACCTACTTTTTGTAAGCTCTTTGCATCCTTTCTCTTCAGTCCTCCCAACAGCCAATGGTGGAATCATTATTATCCACCCCTACTTAAGCAGACAGAAAACTCAGGCTAAGATAAACTAGTTGACTTAACTACAGGAATGGGGAAATGAATTCTAACCGGGATCATGCAAGTCACTAGTCTTCACAAGCTATTTATTCTTATGTGTTACCGTGTTTTGTGTCAGTTTCCAGTCCTTGAAATTTAGAAAAAGGAAGCAGAGGTACTTTTCACAGCATTGGCCGAAAGTACAGCAAAGCTCATATCTTGTGTAATCATAACTAGTGCTCTGAGAAAGGGGCAGGAAGTCTCAGAGGCTGGAGAGCAGAGGAGCAAGATCATTCTGGCAGGAAGAGCCCGTAGGAGGTTCTGCCTGAGGGCTCCCCAGCAGAGAGCTGGCCCACCAGCCACCACTTACAGGACTGGGCTACAAGAACAGGTGGGCACCTTGGTTTGAATCCTGAATTTGGGGGGGAGGGGGAGATGACTGTCCTTGGAATAGCCAGACAGGAATCAGATTTTTATTCTGTCTTTCTTCTGAGTAACTGCATGACTGATGAGTTAATTCCCTGTTCTGATCATTAGTTTACCCACTTTCCAAACAAAAGAATTGGGTGAAACAATCCTTAGGTTTCCTTCAAGACTTGGGGTGATGATTTTCTACAATTCTCTGCATTTCTTCATATGTCACTCAGTCTTAAACAGAATATGCTCTCAGAAAATACTGTGTAGTTAGACTGAATCCTGCGTTAGGACCCTAAGGTTCCATTCTATTTCTGTCATAGAGAAAATTGTTGCATGCAGAGCAGTTGTCTTCTAAGCTATGATTTGTCTCCAAAGCGGGGGTTTTAGAACTGTCTGGAAAAGTTGTGGGCCACCGCAAGTGTGACTCCACTTGATGAATGTGGGGGGACCAAGCAATCCCTCTCACCTTAGACTGTGGAGTCTGGGGATGATGGCATCAGTCTGGAGACTTCCAGTGAACCATAAAGAATGCTGGCTCTATAGAATTCCCCCTAAAAAGTAGCCAATACATGTATCATAGCCTTAAACTTCATAAATCCACTTCTAAATGTTACTCTAAGGAAATAATTGAATAGGTGAGGCACCACAGAAGTGCACAGATGTTCACTATAGCATTGTTCATAATGGTGACGAGAGAGAGGGAGAGAGAGAGAGAAACAACCTAAATAACCTCCACTGGTTAAATGAACCTTGAAACATCTATTCATTTGGATACATTGGCTTTTTTATTGTGGTAATATATATATATATATATATATATATATATATATATATAACACAAGATTTAGCATTTTAACCATTTTTAAGTGTATCGTTCAGTGGTATTTAGTACATCCTTATTCTTGTGCAACATCCCCACAACTGAACTCCAGAACTTTTTCATCTTCCCAGACTGAAACTCCATGCCCATTAAGCACTAACTCCACATTTCCCTCTCCTCCCACCCATGGTATCCATCATTCTACCTTCTGTCTTGATGAACTTGAGTACTCTAGCTGCCTCCCAGAAGTGCCATCGTATAATATCTGTCCTTCTGTGACTGGCTTATTTCACTTAGCATATTGTCTTCAAGTTTCATCCACACGGTATCATGTGTCAGAATGTACCATTTGGCTTTTAAATTTAGGATTTTTATTGCTTACATTCATTAGTGTCAGAGATGTTCACAGAATAATGTTGAGTGCAAAAAGATTTCTAACTGGCATGGATAGAAGGATTCTGTTTATGTAGAACGATGAACGCGTGTAAACACATATAAAGAAAGAGGGGGGAGAAAATGCGAGAATGAAAGGATATGTATGAAACACCAGTTATTGTGTAGAAATTGAGATTTAAGGAACTTCATTCTCTTCTTCAAAATGTATTTCCTTTTTCATTGTATTTGCTATGTTATACACTCTTTTTTTAAATAATTTTTTATTGTTATGTTAATCACCATACATTACATCATTAGTTTTTGATGTAGTGTTCCATGATTCACTGTCTGTGCACAACACCCAGTGCTCCACGCAGAACGTGCCCTCCTTAACACCCATCACCAGGCCAACCCATCCCCCCAACCCCCTCCCCTCTAGAACCCTCAGTTTGTTTTTCAGAGTCCATCGTCTCTCATGGTTCGTCTCCCCCTCCGACTTAATCCCCTTCATTCTTCCCCTCCTGCTATCTTCTTCTTTTTCTTTTTTCTTAACATATGTTGCATTATTTGTTTCAGAGGTACAGATCTGTGATTCATCAGTCTTGCACAATTCACAGCATTCACCATAGCACACACCCTCCCCAATGTCTATCACCCAGCCACCCCATCCCTCCCACCCCCAACCACTCCAGTAACACTCAGTTTGTTTCCTGAGATTAAGAATTCCTCATAGCAGTGAGGTCGTATGGTACATGTCTTTCTCTGATTGACTTATTTCACTCAGCATAACCCCCTCCAGTTCCATCCACGTCGTTGCACATGGCAAGATCTCATTCCTTTTGATGACTGCATAATATTCCATTGTTGTTATACACTCTTTTAAACAAAACAATTAAAAAATAATAAAAGAAAATAAAGGTACATGGTACCCAGAGTATCATAAGTGTACCAACAAGGCTTCCAGGTCCTAGCGTCAGGACTAGAATCAAGTATATCCTGTAGTCCTTAGGTATGAGGACTGAAAAATATAGGAAGGAATCCTATAGAAATCCTATAGGAAAGGATCCAGAACTAGAGACTTTTGTTTTTAAATCCTTAAGTTGGGATTTTATTTTTTTAGTTTTTTATTGTGGTAAGAACACTTAACATGAGACCTCCTCTCTAACAGACTTAAATGCACAATACCGTCAGTCTACCTATAAACCCAACGCTGTGGAGATCTCTAGAACTTATCTTGCACAACTGAAATTTTATGCACGTTGTACAACAACTCCCCATTTCTTCCTCCCCAAGAGCCTGGCAACCACCACTCTAGTCTTTGCCTCAGTGAGCCTATTTTCGATAGCTTATGTAAGTTCAGTCACTCAGTGTTCTGTCGTCTGTGGCCAGCTTACTCACTTAGCACAGCGTCCTCATGGTCGGCCTTACAAAGGAAGAAATCCTGCAATTTGTGACAATGCGAATGAACCCCGAGAGACTGGGGATTAAGACTAGAAAGAGGAAGGGGTCTACTTAGCACATTTGGGCTAGTAAACCACAGGAATACAGCAGAAACCAATTTACCAGAATATGGGAACAAATGTCCAAGGTCAGAAATGCAAAGCTGGAGGCATCACAATTCCGGACGTCAAGTTATATTACAAAGCTATAATGATCAAGACAGTATGATACTGGGCACAAAAAGAGACACATAGATCAAAAGAACAGAATAGAAAACCCAGAAATGAACCCACAACTCTATGGTCGACTAATCTTTGACAAAGCAGGGAAGAATATCCAATGGAAAAAAAACAGCTTCAACAAATGGTGTTGGGAAACCTGGACAGTCACATGCAGAAGAATGAAACTGGACCACTTTCTTACATCATACACAAAAATAAATTCAAAATGGATGACAGACCTAAATATGAGACAGGAAACCATTAAAATCCAGAACACAGGCAGTAACCTCTTTGACATTGGCCACAACAACTTCTTACTAGATACATCACCTGAGGTAGGGAAAACAAAAGCAAAAATAAACTATTAGGACTTCATCAAAACAAAAGGCTTCTGCACAGTAAAGGAAGCCATCAACTAAACTAAAAGGAAACCTATGGAATGGGAGAAGATATTTGCAAATGACATATCAGATAAAGGGTTGGTATCCAAAATATGTAAAGAACTTATAAAATGCAACACCCAAAAAACAATCCAGTTAAAAATGGGGAGAAGACATGAACGGATATTTTTCCAAAAAATACATACAGATGGCCGACAGACACATGAAAAAATGCTCAACATCACTCATGATCAGGGAAATACAAATCAAAACTATGATGAGATATCGCCTCACTCCAGTCAGAATGGCCAGAGAGTGGTAGCCAATGGACTTCGGCTATGAGGGAGAGAGGACAGAGGGGCTGAGCATTATGTGTGGCAAGGTGGGCAGGCCCATACCTACTGGGGATATAGAAGAGCCTAGGCATTACATTGCCCGTGTTCAAATCTTGCTCCATTATAGGCTAGATATACAATCTTAAGAAAACCATTTATCCTCTCTGACCCTCATTTTCTTTTCTTTTTTTTTTAAAGATTTTATTTATTTGACAGAGAGAGACACAGCGAGAGAGGGAACACAAGCAGGGGGAGTGGGAGAGGGAGAAGCAGGCTTCCCGCCGAGCAGGGACCCCGATGAGGGGCTCGATCCCAGGACCCTGGGACCATGGTCTGAGCTGAAGCCAGACACTTAATAACTGAGCCACCCAGGCACCCCTAATTTAAATTCTTCTTAATTAACATACTGTGTAATATTAGTTTCAGGGTACAATTTAGTGATTCAACACTTCCATACAACACTGGGAGCTCATCACAAATGCCCTCCTTAATCCCCATCACCTATTAAACCCACCTCCCCCACCTCCCTTCTGGTAACCATCAATTTGTTCTCTAAGGTCAGGAGTCTGTTTCTTGGTTTTGCTCTCTTTCCCCCCGGCCATGTTCATTTGTTTTGTTTCTTCAATTCCACAGATAAGTGAAATCATATGGTATTTGTCTTTCTCTTACTGATTTATTTCGCTTAGCATAATACTCTCTAGCTCCATCCAATTGTTGCGAATGGCAAGATTTCAATCTTTTTGATGGCTGAGTAATATTCCACTGAGTGCATGTATTTGTGTGTATGTGTGGGTGTATGTGTATACACACCTTCTTTATCCATTCATCACTTGATGGATATTTGGGATCTTTCCATAATTTGGCTATTGTAGATAATACTGCCATAAACATTGGGGTGCACGTATCCCTTTGAATTAGTATTTTTGTATCCTTTGGCTATATACTTAATGGTGCAATTGCTGCATCATACGGTAGCTCTATTTTTTTTAACTTTTTGAGGAACCTCCACACTGTTTTCCAGAGTGGCTGTGCCAGTTTGCATTCCCACCAACAGTGTAAGAGGGTTCTTTCTCTTCCTCCTCACCAACATCTGTTGTTTCCTGTTGTTAATTTAGCCATGCTTTTCTTTTTCAAGATTGTTTTGGCTATTTAGGGTCTTTTGTGCTTCCGTATAAATTTTAAGATTGTTTGTTCTAGCTCTGTGAAAAATGCTGTTGGTATTTTGATAGGGATTGCATTCAATGTGTAAATTGCTTTGGGTAATATAGACATTTTAACATTTGTTCGTCCAATCCATGAGCATGGGATGTGTTTCCATTTTTTTTGTGTGTCATCTTCAGTTTCTTCCATCAGTGTTTTATAGTTTTCAGAGTACAGATCTTTTACCTCTCTGGTTAGGTTTATTCCTACGTATCTTATGGTTTTTGGTGCAATTAAAAATGGGATCGATTCTTTGATTTCTCTTTCTGCTGCCTCATTATTGGTATATATAAATGCAACAAATTTCTGTACGTTGATTTTTTATCCTCAACTTTACTGAATTCATGTATCAGTTCTAGCAGTTTTTTGATGGAGTCTTTCAGGTTTTTTATATGGAGTATCAGTCATATGCAAATAGTAAAAGTTAGATTTCTTCCTTGCTGATTTGGATTTGGATACCTTTTATTTCTTTTCATTGTCTGATTGCTGTGGCAGGGACTTCTGGTACTACGTTAAATAAGAGCGGTGAGAGTGGACATCCCTGTCTTGTTCCTGACCACAGAGGAAAATATAAGCCTCATTTTCTTATCTGTAGAATTCAGGTAACAATAGCACCTATCTCTGAGAGTCGTTGTGTAGGCTAAATGAAGACTCTACACAAAGCTCTTACCAGAATGCCAGATTCACAGTGGGTGCCGAGTAAATGTTAGCAATTATTATCATTTTATCAGGAACTACTGTTTGATTTTGAAACCCAGAATCTCTCCTAACCTGATACTTTTTCTACCTTTCTGGTTTTAAAGATGTGCTAGAATGCTCACCCATGGCCTCTCTGCCCCAGTTCTACCACAAAGGATTCAGCGTCAACACTATTCCCCTCCTTATTCATGTTACCGCGACCATACTTCTGTTCAGATTCCAAAATCCCCAAAAAAGAAAACTCCTTAAACAAGGAGAACTGTATTTTTAATAACTTTTCAAAGGTATCTGAGGCCCAGAGAGCATAAGAAATGACCAGGGCATGGATCTATGAGTGGAAATGGGGTGGAGTCACCAATCTTTTATTGAGTGATATGGAGCACCTGATAAAGATCACAGGGACACAACAGGGCACTCATCTAAATCACGTCATTCAAATCCTCACAAGAGTGCTTCAGGAGAGCATTATTATTATCCCTATTTTATACATAATGAAACAGGATAAATGAGGGGAAATAACCTGCCTGTGGCCAACTGATAAATACCTGAGCTGGAATTCCAGTGAGTTTAGATATAACTAATATGTATTGAGAGTATACCATGTGCCCCTGTTCTATGTTGAACCCATCACATGCATCATCTCCTCTCCCTCACCATGAACCTATGAAGTGGCTAAAACAACTTGCTTATGGTAAGCTTAGTAACAACTGTTGTGTATAGAATATAAGCATAGGACTGGACTCTTAGACACATGCTCAAATGTGCAAACTGATGCTAAGGCATTCTACTTCCAGCTCAATGTCCTTTCCCATCTCCCTCACTAGTAATGAGATTGTAGATGCCAGTTCCCATCTTTATATGTTATGCACTCCCTCCAAGAGAACCTGGACATTGAGGAGAAGGACTGGGGAACAGAACTGTGGCACCATCGTATTATCACAAGCCTTTGTCCAAACTATGGCCGTCAAGGGGGAGAATGTTGTGCTGAGAACAGATCTAAGGAGCAGCCCAGTAGCTGGACTCTGCTGCTCATACCACAGAGGCTCAGCAACACTGCTGAGCTGGTGAGCAGCAGACGATATACCCTTGAGTCTACATTGGAACTGTCAATGTTAAGAAAGAAGGGAAGATGAGGAGAATTAATGTGGTATTGAGAAAACTATCACAAGCTTCTGAGCCAGATCGATTTGGTTCAGACCGTGACGCAAATACAGGATAATAATAATTATATTTGCTACACCATGTATTAAATACTCTCAATGTGCCAGGCTAAGCACTTTGTGTATTTCAGATAATGAAAATCACTTGAACTTACCAGTCCCGAGTTTCTAATGCATAAAGTGGAGTTAATAACACCTATGTTGTTATAAAGATTAGAGCTACTACGGCCTAGTGCCTGGAATGTAGCAGGAGTTAAATAAGTGTTTATATTAACAATCATTGAGCTAGTAGAGACAAGGGGGTCATTCCGTGTGGGACAGGACCTACACAAGAAAGAGATGTGTACTAGGATTAATCAACATCTGAGGGAAAGAAAACAAGACTATGATGGGAGACTGAGCAGTACAGGTGCAGCACAAAAGTACAATATCAGGACATGCGGCATGGGAATGCGGCACAGGTGAAGCAGAGGTACATGGGTGCGAGAGGGAGGCTGGAAGCAGGGCTTGTTGGAAGGACAGTGACGTGGAAAACCTCAAGGCTGCAAGGCAAGTTCTGTCTGAATTGTTTACCTCTCGAATGTGGGACTCCTCAAAATGTTTAATTTTGTCCCAGTGATATGCTTTCTGTCCACAATGGATGGACTCTGCCAAGCATGCTGGTCTTCCAATGCTTCCACTACTCCCCACGTTCAGTTTTGTTCCCAAAGGACAGGTCACCCCTTGGACAACGGAGAAAAATCTTAAATGGTTTCACATCTTCAGGTTGAACCTCGGGTCCTAACTGAGTTCATTGCCTCTTCCAGCATCATCAGCATCATGCTATCACAGCCCAAGACCAAGGGAGCCTTTGACTCCTTTACTCCAAATGGCATTATCATCCTCAAAAGAGAAAAACCGAAACACAGCTACCAAAAAGAAGATAACCCACAGAACAGTCTGCAGAAAGAAGCTACAGTCCTTGGAGTAAGTTGATGTCATTGTAAGGGGAACACTGGGGAAAATGTGGTGAATGTCTTCAGACTACAGATCTACAGTGGATCTGGGAGAGTCTTTCATTTTTTTTTTTTTCCTGTCTGACTCCAGGCTAACTGGAACATGAAATGGAGCTTTATGGGAAGACGCTATCCAACTCAGGCCTCTCTGTAAACTAAAACCACTAGGTGTCTACTTGAAATCTGTACAAGAAAGTCTCTTGCAATTTGTCTTTAACAGAGTAGATTTTGGATTTAACCACATGATTTTACTCAATAGGATTAAATTAGTCTGTTTTGAGCTCATTTCTTAACCATTTTGAGATGAGACAGTCTGGACTAACCTCACTGTACATTTTCTCCCTGTTTGCCTAACTATAACCATGTGTTCCGGGTCATCAACCTTCATATCCAGGACTTTAATTCCTACCTGGCTCTGAATATCCTCTTTTAAGACCTGACTCCTATTCATTTCCAACTTTGGAAACCTGCCTAGTTGGGGCCTCTGGAATTCAGGATCAGTTCACCACATAATCCTCTTCATTCCCCAATTTGTTTCTCAAAGGCTTCCTCATCTATTGTACAAACAGAAACCTAGATCCCAATGGCACTGTTTCCCCTGCGACCCGCCATTTCTGGGCCTGGAAGTGAAGGCAGTCTCTTTGCTTCTCAAGAACACTTCAATATCAATCTTCTCTCATTCTCTAAAAGCTCCTACTTTAGAATCTCATGTCATCCAAATAAGTAATTCACTCCCACTTTTTTTTTAGAAGATTTTATTTATTTATTTGACAGAGAAAGAAAGCATGAGCAGGGAGGAGGAGGAGAGGGAGAAGCAGGCTCCCCCCTGAGCAGGTAGCCCCAATGTGGGGCTCAATCCCAGGACCCTGAGATCATGACCTGAGCCGAAGGCAGACGTGTAACTGACTGAATCACCCAGGCGCCCCTCATTCCCACTTTAAAAAAACAAACAAACATAATAACTCTTTTTATGTATTATTTTAAAAAATCCTAATTGAGTCTTCTACCCCTAAAAAAGATATTTTTAAAAAGTCATCTATATTTTGAGCAAGGGAAAGAATAATTATCTCCAGCAATTTAAACACTTATGAACTTCAAAACATTCTATTAGGTAATTCTAGTATTAGGAATAATCGAGAATTGATAGGAGAATTAAAATTTCAGAAGACTGAGTTTAGTTTAAAAATGTAAAAATAATCAGTGTTTTAGAAAATAAAATTAAATGATGTACTGGCAAATTTGAAAAGTGATCATCCTTAGAAAAATCGTTTGATGAACATGTTGCTTGAAAATAAAACCAATTAATGTTTGTCCTCCTGCTATCATTTACTAGTACTCACTCCTCAATTTACTTCTTCCAAACAACAGTTTCCTTGCAGGCTTACCCTGTTCCCTACAATCTAGCCTACATGGGCCTAGAATCACAAACACGTTTTACTGTGTTTATTCATTCATACATTCAGCTGCCATTTTTGAGCGCCTAAAATGTCCCGGCCACTATTTTACACACTTAGGATAATAGGCGAAATATACAGTTAGAAGAAAAAAGAACCAGAGCCCCATTCGCAGAGTCCTCTTGCTGTACAGGGGGACTCCAGATCATTGCCACTTTTTTTACTCTCCTGGGTAATTTGCCTTTTCTTTTCGAGATACTGTCCTCAATCACTGTCACTCCTTCCAGGAGAGGTCTTATCATAAGCCTTGACCGTTTCAATCTTTGCGTTTACGATCCCTCCAGTATCACGTCCTCTCTGTTCCTTGACCTCTTCTCCGCAGGTATCTTGCCCATCCTTCCTTAGACAAACATTCTGCGAGTCATACCCTGGGCCTTATCAGTACTAAAAGCAATAAAGCCACCATTACTTACATTTCAAGCATCCCATACTCCACCGACTCTGATCTTTCCAGATCACTCCCTCTGACTCTATGTTGACTCTTTCTTTAACCTCACTGAGACTTATTGATAATATTCCTATTTCACAGAGCCTCTCTCACCTAGCCAAGATCCCATAGTTCACTCTTGTGAACACCCTCAACAGCCTTGTGCTCCTCAACTTAAGGCATAATCTTCAGGAAAAACTGCGACAGTGGTTTAATTCTAGCTCTGCCCATTTGCTTATTCTACACCTGAACCCATGCAACTAACCTTGGCTGAAAACACACACATGGACTCCACTTCTGATTTGTGACCATAACCTCAAATGGACTGTAAAAGCTGTCTAAAAAGAACATGATCTTTCCTTCATCCATTCACTCTCCTACTACCCCAGAAAACTATTTCATACATTCTATCCCCTGAAACCTCTGAGGTTTCGTCCCTCTCCACTGATTACCTTGCTTCCTAAAATACTACAAAAATTGAGGCAATCTGGAGAGAATGTCCACAAGCTGCTACACATCTGAAATTATTCATATCTGTGCCATATATTCTTCTCTCTCCTCTCCCCATTACCAATATGATGTTCATCTTCTAACTGATGATAACCCTCCCTTTGTGCAGTAGATTCCATCCCTTATCACTTGTTCCAGTAATTCTTCCTATTCTCTCTGCAAATCTTTTTATCATTTCCATGAGCACAGAATCTTACTGTAATTTCTCCCATCTTGAGAACAAAAAAGCAGAAACAAATAGCTAAAACTTCACACCCCCTTCAGCTACTGCCCGCTGGTCACTTGCCTTCCCAGCAACACTCCTCTAAGGGGTAGAGAAAGTCAATGTTTCCAAGTCCTCTGAAATGATATTCTCTCTTGAATCATACCCCATGGCACTTGTCCCATTGCTCCACATTAGTAACCTAATTTCCAAGTCTTAGTTATTAATGTTCTTGAACTAGTAGAAGTGTTTAATGCAGCCGACTACTCTCTCCTATTTGAAACATTTTACTCACTTGGCTTCTTGGACAACCACATTCTTCTTGTTTTCCTCTTTCCCTCTTTGCTGCTCCTTTTATTATACTCCTTTACTATTTCTATTTATTTCTTGGATCCTACATTTGGAGTATTTGATAGCTCAGTCCTTGATTCCATTTTGTTTCTGTATCTGTTGCAATGGTGATCCCATCCAGTAATAATATAGTTTTAAATATTATCTTCACTTATGACGGGGGAAAAAGACTATATATCCCTTACCTGGTTCTCTCCTCTAAACTTAAGACTCATATGTCTAACAGCCTATATACATTTCCACTTGGATATCTACTAGACATCTCTCCCCTAACCTGTCCCAGACTGAAATCCTCATCTTTGTCCCCAAACCCACCCCTCATACAACATTCCCCAGCTCAGATCAATGTCAATTCCATCATTTCAGATGCTCAAGCCAAAACCCTTGGAGGCAACTTTCATTCCTATGTTTTATAATCCACAAACTCTCAGCAAATCCTACAGGTTTAATCTTCATCATGCATCTAGAATCCAACTACATCTTACTATCTCCACTGTCAACATCTTCTTTCAAGTCAACATCATCTCACATGTGAATTACTGCAACGCCCTCCTTATTGATCTCCCTGCTCTGTTTCCTTATAATCTATTCTCAACACAGCAGGTAGAATGATCCTTTGAAAATATAAATTGGATCATGTAATCTCTTCATTCAAAATTATCCACTTCACTTCCTTTTTTACTCAGAATGAAAGGCAATGAAAGGTAGAATAGCCTACAAAGCCCTATATGGTTTGCACCCTGCCCCCAGTACTTCTCGGACCTCATTTCCTACGACTTTGCTCTGAACTCATGCTATACTTTCCAAGGAACATATCTGTAAAGTACATAATACATGGCCAGTGGCAGTGATTTTCATTTGCTTCATTTCCCTGGTGCTGGCCCACAACAGATATTTAATACATATTAATTATATGAATGGTGGAATTCTCTTGACTTCAGGTTATTTCTCCTATGTTTGCATCATCTTTCAATTGCATGTGCATTAAACAGTGGGTTAGAGTGTGGGTTCTAGATCAAAGTAACAGGGGTAAATCCTAGATCTTCCACTCGGCCATTTGTGTGGGCTTGTACAAACTATTTTTATCCGGGTGCCTCATTTTTCTCATCCATAAAAAAGATGAGATGAATAATCAGAGTATAGAAAGTGTTCAACAAATATAGATTATTATTATTATCATTGGTGTCATGAAAATAGTAATTATTATTAAAATCCAATGATGCATAAGATGGATTATGCACTAGAGACTTTCTGCTCTATTTTATTTCAAACGAAATTGAGTCCTTTATTCACTCTTCTTTGATAAGTTTGCTTTCTACATTCATCTAACTGAACTAGTGTCCAGAAAAATTTTCTCCATTTGCTTTTCCTAGAACAAGAACAAATTATCAACTATCTTTTTCAAAATAAAGTTAAAATGTGCATATGATCACTTCCTGACTTGCTAGTTTAATAATCCTATCAGAAGAGAAGAGGTTAGTTATACATGACTTTCTTTCTCTTAGAGAATGCCTACTGGCTCCTTGTAACACCTTTTTTTCCTTTTTATTAATTTGTGTGTGAGAGAGAGAGATTGAGCACACATGAGTGGAGCAGGGGGAACAGAGAGAAAGGGAGAGAGAGAGAATCTTAAGCAGGCTTAACTGACTGAGCCACCCAGATGCCCCTTTTTCTCCTTTTTAACATGGCCAATTATAGCATATTTTATACTCTTTACAAACACAACTTATATTCAAACAATCACTTTCATCTGTTCAAAGTGTGTTCCTAGAATTTTCCTTCTTGTCTCTTGTAGATTATCCAGATCCTGTGTTGCCTGTTGATTTCAAGTTTGGGCGCCATTTTGGTTTCTGCTCCCCACTCTTCCCACTTCAAGCCAACAATTTCCACCATTTTGATGTCTGGGTACCCATTTGTAGGAGCTCTATGTGTGAGTAGAGTGGGGTCTCCAAGAGAGGATATGCTTTCTAAATGCTAAGTAGGTGCTAAGTCACTCCATGACTCCCAAGAGGTAGGGATAGAGGAGAAGGCAGCCAAGGCCTCTGACTTTCCCTCTGTCATTGTCCCATGTCACGTTTCTCTAATTCAGGAAGAGCAGCAGAGGGGCTTAATCCCTCCTCCTGTGTCAGCATCCCAGGGAGTGGCTGGTTGGGGCAGGAGGCAAGAGGGTAATACAGTGGGCACACCAGTACAGTATTTCGTACCTGGCCTCCCAGCCTATCTCTGGAAAAATGGAAAATGTTTCACATTCTTTTTTGGGCCTTTGATGAGGTCATTGGATTTCCTTCAGTTTAAGAATCATCCACCTGCCAGGTAACGAGTGAAAAGATCATTTTTAAGATAGAATGAGCACCACTGGTAGATGCCACAGGTTGCAGAGAATTAAACTGGTAATGAAATTCATGGGAGGCAAGGACACTTGTTATGTGTTCAGAAGTAATCCTGAGAATTTGGAAAACTTTTTTGCTGGCTTCCATCTAATTACTCATGGAGAAGGGCCTAGTCAATCCTTTTCTTTGGAGATAGCCAGGGCCTAGTCATGCCTCCCACAAAGGGCCACTTATTTTCCACGTAGTATCTTGTACAAAGGGGGGGGAGGAAGCACACATTCTGGGCAGCTGATTTCTATGAAGGCACCACCACTGTATGGATAGAGCCTTTGTGTAAACACAAACTATGCAGCACTTCTCTTGTCCCCAGAGCATAATTTGCCCGTATATCTCTATCTGATCAGTAGTTGTGGCTCCCACATTCCCTTATGAAAGGTATAAATAGGTCATGCTGGACCCTCTTTGTCTGTGACTACCAATTCCTAAAAGCCACAAGCTTACCCAGTGTTTCAGCTTTTCAGAATATTCTCCCTCCACCAGCTGGATCCTGACCACCACTGGGCTCAAATACTGGCTTCTGGGGCTTCAGTCTGAAAGACTCCTCACATCTATCCTTGTACTTCCCACCTTCCTCAGCTCCCAGTCTAACTCAGGCCCCCTACACCAATACTTGAAGCCCACATGTTTCTGTACCTTGTGCCGTCAGAGCCCCTTCCCTAAGTGTTTCTGTTGGCTGCTCTGACCTTTCTATCGCTTCAAGTCATTGGTCTTTCTCAACCTCCTCTCTTCCCACCTTGTAATTCAGCACTACTCTCTTCCCTCCCTGTACACCTTCTCTCTGGGCCACCTCAGCTCACAGTGATTTTTGCTAACAGAAACCCAGATCCTATGTGCATCTGCCTATTTTTCAAAGTCAATGTAAGCATCCTGAGAGTGGAAATCAGGACTTTATCAATATGGACCCACACCATTCCTACAGTGTTATCTCCCCTAAAAGTTTTACATTACTTATTGATTGATTAATAGTAACATGGTGTCCTCATTTCCACAAGACAACTGAACTGATTATTTCTCTCTTTTCTGAGCAGTTTGCCATTACTGGATTCCTCTCTATTATTTCTGGGAAAAAGTCAACTAAGCCCTTTGTAAGTATGAGAACTATCAAATCTCAGCTCATTGGAATAAAGGGAACTTGAGGATTAATTACTCTAGTTTAAAGTTTCCATTCACAACTTAGGAAAATAGGGCTCTGAGCAGGGAGAGAACCCAAGTTCTCACTGCTGGTCCACTGGTGAACTGGGTGTAAACCCCCAATTCCCTGCCTTCTAGACCAGTGTTCTTCTGCTACACAGTGTAGGCCCGGATCATATTCCCAGCCTGGAGATTTACCTCAGTTGCTTAAACAGTAGAAATTTTTAAATATACCATGGAGTCTTTATAGTTTATTATCTTGGCCCTGAATAGGGTAGATGACCATCCCAGCTAGATCCTAGAGATCCTTTTTCTGGAAAAACCGGTCTCATAATGAGTCAATTTCCCTAAATGGCAAGATCAGAGGCACAGGTGTGTGGGCTTAGATCCTGTGGTTAGCTCCTCCACCCCCTCAGAAACAAGGAATTATCAGACTGTAGCCACTTTCCTGACAAAAGTCAGGAATGTGTGGGTGGGGTCTTTGATGTTCTCCATAACAATCTTTCCCTTTTTTCCCCTGCCACACACTCACAAAGATGACTTAGGGAAAAGCCACATCCTGACTCAGGAAGATCCAGGGTGTAGTTAGCTATGGATGAAGGCACCTAAGATGCTGTATGAGGCTGGTATATGTTCCTGATACTTGAAGCTAGAATCTAAACCCCAGAACCAGTGGACAGAATTTTGAAATGTTCACCTCATTGGACGGAGTCAGAGTTCTGGACTTGGAACCAGGAAACCTATACTCTCGTCCCAGCTCTGTCACTGACCCATCTGTATGCTCAAAGAAGTTCCTTCCTTCTCTGGGCTTCACTTTCCTCATTTATAAAATGTGGAAGATGAACATGTGAATTTCACAGGTGGCTTCCCAAGTGTCCTGAACACCCTAAAAGGGAAAACAATACTCGGGATGACCCGGTATGATATGGGCTCCACATATAGGACGCAAGACAATATGTGGGCTCCATTGCCCATGTGGCAGCTCTGGGCAAATGCACTGCTCATTCCGTCTGCTCTTCCTTTGGTAACTCAGCACTTGAAGCCACATAGCTACCAGGTCCAGGGAGTAGGGGGCAGAGCAACCATCCTCCCAACCCACAGTATCCTACAATGATGTTCAAATAGAAAAGAGCATATGCTGGGAACCTGGCACAGAATCCAGCACATCAGTGTATTTGCAGAGGAACCAGATTCTGTGAGAACACTTTACCCTGAAATGTAGAATATGACCCAGGAGAGAGTGTGGTGCATGTGGTTCTCAGGCTTCATCCACCTATAGGTAGGTATTCTAGCTTCTCCAGTTTTCTCTTTTATGGAAAGAAAAGCCATAGGTTGGTCTAGGAGGGACCAAAGGCCATATTCTAGAAGATCTTAAAGCAAAAGAATGATTCTAAGGCTGTTGAGGAAGTCAAGGAATATACTGGTAGTGGTTTGAGCAGTGTCACCTCTGTCTGCAGAGAGCCAAGGGGCCAGAACCCCTATTCTGAAGGAGGAATTATTCATGCATTCTTGCACTCAACAAACATTTGCTAACTATATCAGGTGATAAACAGATAGTGAAGAGGGACATACAGAACACAATCTGTGCCCCCAGGAGTACACAGCTTAGAGGGGAAAGAGATTCAGGGAAGCATCACTGTAGTGTAGTGGATGGAGAAATAACTGTATCACATGCTGCTTCTGCCATGAAATCCCAATGCAGAATTTCTTTTTCAGGCCATGAGCAGCCTGACCTCAAGTGCAGTAAGTTTTCTCGCTGCTGGAGCAGGCCTCTTCCTCCTTGCTGATGGCCTGGCATCCCTGGAGATTGCCTCTCGACGGTGCGACTCAGAAAGGGAATATCTATCCACACTGCCTTATTCGATGTACTATTATTCGATATATGAATTCAAGGACTGTCTCCTGGCTAGTGTCAGTCTAACAGTAAGTAGCCTCAGACTCAATATCCTGCCATGTGAAATCTCAGCTTCTCTCCTTTGCATAATTTCTGCTTTTTCAGCTGTCTGTATCTTGTTGATCTGAATGCCTGGAAGTAGACAGAAAAAAAAAAATGTGGTTGAAAGAGTCCTGTCAGCAGACTGCAAAATATAAGTTTGACTTTGACATTGTGCGAAGTCAAAATAGGAAATCAAGAAGGGCTGTGGGTTCAAGATATGTCTCTTCTGGCAAGAGAAATAAGCAAAAATAAACTATTGAGACTACACCCAAAATAAAAAAGCTTCTGCACAGCAAAGGAAAACATTAACAAAAAGAAAAGGCAACCTACTAAATGGGAGAAGATATTTGCAAATGACATATTCTATAAGGGGTTACTATCCAAAATATATAGAAACTCACACAACTCAACACTGGAAAAACAAATAATCCAATTTAAAAAATGGGCAGAAGACATGAATAGATATTTTCCCAAAGAAGAAATACAGATGGCTGACAAACACATGAAAAGACGTTCAACATCACTAATCACCAGGGAAATGCAATTCAAAACCACAATGAGATACCAACTCACATGTGTCAGAAAGGCTAGTATCAAAAAGACAAGAAACAAGTGTTGGTCAGGATGTGGAGAAAAGGGAACAATATGCACTGTTGGTGGAAATGTGAATTGGTGCAGCCACTCTGAAAAACAGGATGAAGGTTCCTCAAAAAATTAAAAATAGAAATACCTACAATCCAGTAATTCCACTACTGGGTATTGACTCAAAGAAAACAAAAATGCTAGTTTGAAAAGATATATGGACCCTTGTGTTTACTGCAGCATTATTTACAATAGCCAAGATATGGAAGCAATCTAAGAGTCCATCCACAGACGAATGGATAAAGAAGAGGTGGTCAGCAGTCTTTCCTACATAAAAAAATATTCCATTCTCAATAGGTTTAGTTCTCAGGGTGCCCCCTTTGTTGGGCAGGCATTTTTCCCCCTTGACACAGGCAGAAATATCCCTCTTTATTTGAATTTTATTTGATTTGGGATTAATGTAGCCACATTAAATTAGCTGTAGAACTTGGACTTTAATTATTATACTTTGGCCCAGCAGGGCTGGCAGAGGGAGAAGGGGATGGGAGATGACCCACCCATGGATTCCACTCCTTGCAGAAATGCCAACATCTCTGGGCAGCATTTTCTTGCCAAAATTCTTCCCAAGCTGGATGGTCATCACCTGTTGACGGTAAAAATCCTGGCTTAGTCAATCCTCTATATACAGGCTCATAGTTTTAAAACCATAAACTTTGGCCTTTTAAGGAGAAAAATTTCTTCCTTTGTGACTCCACTAGCAGGAGCCAGGGAGACAAATGTAATATCTCTTATTCCCTTGGATCTGTCTCACAAATCCCAGAAAATGTGTGCAAGTTTCTGCCCATTCAACCTAGAGGTTGTCAAAAGCAACCCCTTTGATCCTGGAGCTTGAGGAAGTGAAAAGGCACAGAAATGCATCTGATTAGAAATCAGTGCAAGGAAGTCCATGAGACAGCATAACCCTGGTGCAGGCAGACATCAGGCAAAGCCGTGAGGGTGAGGGAGACATCCTTCCTGCCCAGACTTTGACGGTTTAACTCAATGAAAACTACTCTCAATACACCAAACTGTCTCCTACTCCCAGACAACCAGAGAACATCCTGCAAAATCAGAGAAGTTGCACCAGGACTGACCCCAAACACCCACTCTTTATTAACACAAACATAACCTGAGCAAAGTAATGCATCAAAACATTTGAAATATATATCTGAGGTTGGAAGAAGAAAGGAAGGGAGGGTGGAAAGAAGGAAAAAAATCAAGGAAGAAAGGTATCTTATATTCCAGGAGCTAAGAAGGATCCTACAGCCAGGTAACCAAACAAGAGCTGGGACCAGAAAACAGAGAGGTCTGGGTGGGAACACAGGTGCTACCAGCTGGGATAATAGTATTTTAATGCCCATGACAAATCTGAAGTTCTTCAGGCCCACACTGAGTGACCTGCAAAAACGTTAGAAGCAGAGACTGAATATTTACCCTATGTAGAAAACAGAACAAGGAAAACTCTGCCCAACATCCCATGAAGCTTTAAAAACTCTGCCATAAAGGTTTCTAGGATGAATTCATCTCACCAAGCCATGGGCAGGAATGGACGGTATCCAAATCCAAGATTACGTATAAAATAAAGGAACCTCAAATACAAGGATTAACGTAAAAACTTCCTGGGTCGTGGAACTCCTGAGCTTCCAGCAGAATCAAATCTATAACTTCCACTAGGGAGGCATCCATAAACCCAACCAATGGGTCTCCTATATATTAAAAAATTTCCCCCATCCACCTATATACTGATATCATCTAAGAGTAAAATGTTCTTAAAAACATGAGAAAAAATGGGGAACAGCCCAAAATGGAACAAATATTAAAGTTAGTTGCTCAAGAATTAGAGGTTATATACTAATTTGGAAGACTATAATGAAAATATATTTTAAATGATTAAAGGCATAAAAAAGGAATAAAAACCAAAATGAAAGAACATGACAGTAAGATAAAAACAAATAGATTTGAAAAAAAACTAAACAGTATGATCAGAAATGCAATTATACTCTTTGAAACTAAAAATTTAGCATATCAGTTAAACAGTAGATTCAACATATACAAAGAAATAAATAGTGAGGGGAGGGGGAAAATATGGCGAAGGAGTAGGGGACCCTATTCCAAACGGTCCCCAGAATTGAGCTGGATATCTACCAGACCACTCTGAACAACCCCGAAATCAGCCTGAGATGTAAGAAGATAGATCTGGATCTCTACAAACTGAATATCACAGGCAGTTGGTTTTGAGGTTTGAAGCAGGAAGACGTGATTCCACGGGCAGATATCAGAGGATAAACGGCAATGGGAGGGAGCCTGGCCGTGGGGATCCTGCACCACCAGTGAGCAATAGCCTCCCGTGCTGGTGACCGGGCACAGACTCGCAGACTGGTAGTGGTGAGGAAAGGACATTAGGGCAGCCCCTCTGACGGAAACCGGATTGGCAGGGTCATGGGTGTGAACTGGGGGCGGCTGGTGGTTTTAGAAACACAAAGGGCAGAGACATGCCCTGACCCGGAGGTGAGGACTGGGAGCCCTGCTGAGGGGCACACAACCCAGGACACTGCAGTTTATAGAAGCATAGACAGAAATGGAGATAGTGTGGCCTGGAGAATTCCCTGAAGAACAGACTACGATCTCTTTGCTCTGAGGCAGAGGGTTGGAAACAGTCTCTTCTGCTCTGACTCTCAGAATAGATGTGGAAAGCCACCAGGGAAAGCTGCCGGAGAACAAAAGCCCCCCAAAACCAGTTTTCACTGAGCCCATCCCCCACCACAGGGGGCAGGGCAACTTTGCCCAAACAGGGTTGCCTGAGTAACAGCATAGCAGGCCTCTCCCCCAGAAGACAGGCTGGGAAAACAAGAGGCCAGCAACCTTAAGGTCCTTAAAAAACAGGTGCATCTTGCTTGGGTTGTGGTCAATAATTTGGACTCTATACATTCCCTCAAACACCCCTCAACAAAATGACTTGGAGGAGGAACCCCCAAAATAGGAAAGACTCAGAGATTATGACTTATGTCATAGATTTACAAATGGATTCAGATAGGGTGCCTGGGTGGCTCAGTTGGTTAAGCGACTGCCTTCGGCTCAGGTCATGATCCTGGAGTCCTGGGATCAAGTCCCGCATGGGGCTCCCTGCTCAGCGGGGAGTCTGCTTCTCCCTCTGACCCTCTTCCCTCTCGTGCTCTCTATCCCTCATTCTCTCTCTCTCAAATAAATAAATAAAATCTTAAAAAAAAAACAACAAATGGATTCAGATATAACCAAGATGTTGGAGATGGAATTCAGGTTAGCAATTGTGAAGACAATAGCTAGAATGGAGAAATCAATTAATGGCAACATAGAGTCTCTAAGGGCAGAAATGAAAGCTGAATTGGCAGAACTTAAAAATGCTATCAATGAAATCCAATCTAATCTAGATAATCTAACAGCTGGGGTAAGCAAGGGAGAAGAACGAATTAGTGACCTGGAAGACCATTTAATAGATAAAAAGGGAAAAGAGGAGGCCAGGGAAAAACAATTCAGAATCCATGAAAATAGAATGAGAGAAATAAGTGACACCATGAAACATTCCAATGTCAGAATTACTGGAATCCCTGAGGGGGTGGAGAGAGAGAGAGGACTAGAAGATATACTTGAGCAAATTGTAGCTGAGAACTTCCCTAAATCTGGGGAATGAAAGAAATATTCATGTCCTAGAGGCAGAGAGGACCCCTTCCAAGATCAAGGAAAATAGGCCAACACCCTGGCATGTAATAGTAAAACTCGCAAATCTTAGAACCAAGGAAACCATCCTAAGGGCAGTTAGGGGGAAGGGATTCCTTAGTACAGAGGAAGGAACATCAGAATAACGTCAGACCTATCCACAGAGACCTGGTAAGCCAGAAAGTCCTGGCAAGACATATTCAGGGTACTAAACGAGAAGAACATGCAGCCAAGAATACTTTATCTGGCAAGGCTGTCATTTAGAATGGATGGAGAGATGCAGAGCTCCCAAGACGGGCAGAAACTGAAAGAATACGTGACCACTAAGCCAGCCCTGCAAGAAATATTAAGGGGGGTTCTATAAAAGGAGAAAGACTCCAAGAGTGATATAGAAAAGAAATTTACAGGGACAATCAATAAAAACAAGGTCTTCACAGGCAACATGATGACAATAAATTCATATCTTTCAATAATCACTCTCAATGTGAATGGCCTAAATGCTCCCATAAAACGGCACACGGTTGCAGATTGGATAAAAAGACAGGACTCATCCATATGCTGTCTACAAGAGACTCATTTTGAACCTAAAGATACATCCAGACTAAAAGTGAAGGGATGGAGATCCATCTTCCATGCCAGCAGACCTCAAACGAAACTGGGGTAGCAATTCTTATATCAGACAAATTAGATTTTAAACTAAAGACTGTAGTTAGAGACACAGAAGGACACTGTATCATTCTTAAAGGGTCTATCCAACAAGAAGATCTAACAATTGTAAATATCTATGCCCCCAACATGGGAGCAGCCATCTACATAAGCCAACTGTTAACCAAAATAAAGAGTCATATTGATAACAATACGTTAATTGTAGGAGACCTCAGTACTCCACTTGCAGCAATAGACAGAGCATCTAAGCAGAAAATCAACAAAGAAACAAGAGCTTTGAATGACACACTGAACCAGATGGACCTCATAGATATATACAGAACATTCCACCCTAAAACAACAGAATACTCATTCTTCTCGAGCACACATGGAACTTTCTCCAGAATAGACCACATACTGGGTCACAAATCAGGTCTCAACTGATACCAAAAGATTGAGATTATTCCCTGCCTATTCTCAGACCCTAATGCTTTAAAACTGGAACTCAATCACAAGAAAAAATTTGGCAGAAATTCAAACACTTGGAAGCTAAAGACCACTCTGCTCAAGAATGTTTGGGTCAACCAGGAAATCAAAGAAGAACTTAAACAATTCATGGAAATCAATGGGAACGAAAACACATCAGTCAATCAATGTGATAGAACACATTAATAAGAAGAGAGAGAAAAACCATATGGTCCTCTCAATTGATGCAGAAAAAGCATTTGACAAAATACAACATCCTTTCCTGATTAAAACTCTTCAGAGTATAGGGATAAAGGGAACATTCCTCAAGTTCATAAAATCCATCTATGAAAAACCCACAACGAATATCATCCTCAACAGGGAAAAGCTGAGAGCCTTTCCCTTAAGACCAGGAACACATCAAGGATGCCCACTCTCACCACTATTGTTCAACATAGTACTAGAAGTCCTAACAACAGCAATCAGACAACAAAAAGAAATAAAATGTATTCAAATTGGCAAAGAAGAAGTCAAACTTTCTCTTTTCCCAGATGACATGATACTTTATGTGGAAAACCCAAAAGACTCCACCCCTAAATTACTAGAACTCATACAGCAATTCAGTAATGTGTCAGGATACAAAATCAATGCACAGAAATCAGTTGCTTTCTTATACACTAACAATGCAACTATAGAAAGAGAAATTAGAGAAACAATTCCATTTACAATGGCACCAAAAACCATAAGATACCTCAAGAATAAACCTAGCCAAAGAGCTAAAGGATCTATACTCTAGGAACTACAGAACACTCATGAAAGAAATTGAAAAAGACACAAAAAGATGGAAAAATATTCCATGCTCATGGATTGGAAGAATAAACATTGTTAAAATGTCTATGCTACCCAGAGCAATCTATACCTTCAGTGCCATCCCGATCAAAATTCCAATGACATTTTTTCAAAGTGCTGGAACAAACAATCCTAAAATTTGTATGGAATCAGAAAAGACCCCAAATTGCCAAGGAAACATTGAAAAAGAAAAACAAAGCTGGGGTCATCACGTTGCCCAATTTCAAGCTATATTACAAAGCAGTGATCACCAAGATAGCATGGTACTGGCACAAAAACAGACATATAGACCAATGGAACAGAATAAAGAGCCCAGGTATGGACCCTCAACTCTGTGGTCAAATAATCTTTGACAAAGCAGGAAAAAATATGCAATGGAAAAGACAGTCTCTTCAATAAATGGTGCTGGGAAAATTGGGACAGCCACATGCAAAAGAATGAAACTCGACCATTCTGTAACACCATACACAAAGATAAACTCAAAATGGATGAAAGACCTCAATGTGAGACAGGAATCCATCAAAATCCTAGAGGAGAACATAGGCAGTAACCTCTTTGACATCAGCCAGAGCAACTTCTTTCAAGATACATCTCCAAAGGCTAGTGAAACAAAAGCAAAAATGAACTTTTGGGACTTCGACAAGATAAAAAGCTTCTGCACAGCAAAGGAAAGAGTCAACAAAACAAAGAGGCAACCCACAGGATGGGAGAAGATATTTGAAAATGACACTACAGATAAAGGGCTGTTATCCAAGATCCATAAGGAAATTCTCAAACTCAACACCCAAAAAACAAATAATCAAGTCAAAAAAAAATGGGCAGAAGACATGAAAAGACACTTCTCTGAAGAAGACATACAAATGGCTAACAGACACATGAAAAAATGTTCATCATCATTAGCCATCAGGGAAAATCAAATCAAAACCACATTGAGATACACCTTACACCAGTTAGAATGGCAAAAATGGACAAGGCAAGAAACAACAAATGTTGGAGAGGTTGTGGAGAAAGGGGAACCCTCTTACACTGTTGGTGGGAATGCAAGTTGGTACAGCCACTTTGGAAAACAGTGTGGAGGTGCCTCAAAAAATTAAAAATAGAGCTACCTTATGACCCAACAATTGCACTCAAAGACACAGATGTAGTGAAAAGAAGGGCCATATGCACCCCAATGTTCATAGCAGCAATGTCCGCAATAGCCAAACTGTGGAAAGAGCTGAGATGCCCTTCAACAGATGAATGGATAAAGAAGATGCGGTCCATACAGACAATGGAATATTACTCAGCCATCAGAAAGGATGAATACCCAACTTCTACATCAACATGGATGGGACTGGAGGAGCTTATGCTAAGTGAAATAAGTCAAGCAGAGAAAGTCAATTATCATATGGTTTCACTTGTTTGTGGAACATAAGGAATAGCAGGGAGGACGCTAGGAGAAGGAAGGGAAAAATGGGGGGGGGGAACTGGAGGGAGAGATGAACCATGAGAGACTATGGACTCCAGGAAACAATCTGAGGGTTTTAGAGGGGAGGGGGGGTGGGGGGATGGGTTAGCCCGGTGATGGGTATTAAGGAGGGCACGTACTGCATGGAGCACTGGGTGTTATATGAAAACAACGAATCATGGATCACTACATCAAAAATTAATGTTATATTGTATGGTGACTAACATAATACAATAAAATTAAAAAAACAGTGAGATGAAATTTAGGTCTGATTAAATAACACAAGAGCACAACACATTATAGTAGAAATCTGAAAAATATGAGTGACTGGTTAACAGAGAGGGAGGACAGAGTGAAGCAAAAAAGGTCAATACACATCTAACATGAACTCCAGGAGGATGGCCAGGGAGAGAGGAAATACGCAAAGAGAAATAACCAGCAAATTTTCATAATTAAAGACATGAGATTTCAGATGGAAGGTATGAACGGAGACTGTTCCTGGATAAATAAAAACAAATCCACACTAGAAACATCATAACAATAAAAACAACAGGGTTTACTTCTTTTATCTGTTGCTGCGTATTTCCCTGCTTCTGTCCACTGCTAGAGCTCTCACCCCCCAGTCTCCTTGCTCTAGTCAGACACCAACCATCCCTGGCTTGATTCACAGGGGGTGCTGGTGGTGATGCTGGTCTTCACTGTGCTGGAGCTCTTATTGGCTGCATATGCTTCCATCCTTTGGTGGAAACAAGTGTACTCCAACAATCCTGGGGTGAGTATTCGACATGTCACATGACACCTATTGGGTCCCAATATGTGAGCTGTGATGATCCAGGTTGAGAAAAAGTGTCAGAAAGAGGAGTCAGTTATTGATCATGTGGTTCATGTAGGTGACTTTCATAGTGAGGAGAGAGTTCTATGAATGGGTTCCTTCATGATGACCCCGGTATCTGAGATTATTAGTGGGTGCCTTCTGGCCAGCAAGCCAGTTAGAGAACTGCTTAATATGAAGTTGGAATGGCTTTAGAAATTGCCTGCCCCAGATGGGTGTGTGGTTCAGTTGGTTAAGTATTTGCCTTTGGTTCAGGTCATGATCTCAGGGTCCTGGGATCAACCCCTGATTCGGGTTTCCTGCTCAGCAGGAAGTCTGCTTCTCCCACTCCCTCTGCCCCTCCTGTGCCTGCTCCCACTTGTGCTTTCTCTCTCTCAAATGAATAAATAAAATCTTAAAAAAAAAAGAAATCACCTGCCCCAATCTCTTATGAAAGAAAGAACTGAGGCTTGGATAAAATCACTTGGAGATTGAGTGATACAGACCAACAGGCTGAGAATGAAAGCTTGCATCTCCTTCTTCTTGTCATGGACACAGCCACCTGCCTCCCTAGAGTCTCCATGGCCCCATTCCTTTGTTAATGTGATGAGATCTTACTAGGGCATCTCTGTTCTGTTTATGCTTTTCTGTGTTCTTTCGTAAACCCTCTTAGGGCATGTCATCACAATTTAAAAATCCTTGCCTTTCCTCTAAAAGCCATAATTTTTTTAAAAAAAGAAATTATTTAAAGGGACAGACTAATGATTCAATTATGGTCTTATTAGTAAATGGTAACATGATTAACAGATCGAAGAATGAAATTTGTTTGAAACTAATATTGATGCAATCATATATTTTGGTAAAGTTGGAAAGGCTACTACTGTACAACATGTGGGGGGAATGCATTCTAAATATGGATCAAAGAAAGCCTCCAAAATCAGACTTTTAATATCTGCTAATACACTTTCTCTTTTCTAGAGTGAATTTCCTTGCCAAGGTTATATCCAACACGTCAAAAAGCTCTTCAAGGTCATATCCAACACATCAAAAAGCTCTTCAAGGTCATGGATAGAAGTAACGCCTCAGAAGAAAAAGGAGAAATGCAGTGCTCCTGGCAAAGTGTGATTAGACTTTCCTGAAATTTCAGCTACTTTACACACTGAAAGAAACTTTCAGAAAACAGCCTTTGTTTTGCACTAGCTCACTCTTAGTAATTTCATTGCTCTTGAAAACAATCTCTCAAAAGCCCAGGTGGGTAAACTGAACAGAAAGCAATTCATCTACCCATGAATAAGAAAAGAAAATGTGCACTCTTGTGCTAGTGTGAACTGGCTGAGTCTCGTGGCTATGCACGCCCCACTCCTGTAGTATTTTCACACTTATATTGCTTAAACATTGGATATTAGAGATTGCAAAAACTTTTAAAAGTACTTTAAACATACATGGCTCCATTTCTGCCAACTGAATGAAGTGAATTTCTGTCAACTGAATGTGGCTCAATATTCTGTCTCATTTAATGACTTTAATCTGGCTTCAAAGATTATTATTTATCATAATGCTCTTCCCCACCTAAGTTCTAGACCAAATAAGTAATTAGCCATATAGAAATAATATCTACTTTATTACTGTATTGGAATAAACAACATGACCTACCCAATAAAAAGGGTCCCAATATTGTCCCCTGGGTCTAGGCCTTGAGTCCTTATCCCAAGGGGAGGGTGCAGCAGCCATATAGATAAATCCCACAAACATGATGTTCAGGGGAGAAAAGGTCATGTATAAAAGAGTATATCCTGTATGTGATTCTATGTGGAGTTTTAGAAGCTAAACTAGTAGGTAGTTTTAGAAGCAGGATAGTGGTTACCCTTGGGGGGGTAGGTAGTTACTGGAAGGGAACCCAGAGGGTCTATGGGCTTGCAGAAATGTTCTTTTCCTTGATCTGGATGCTGGTGTCATACATATATGACTTGTGTTCACTTGCTTCTATGTTATAACTGAATAAAAATGTTTTTGAAAAAGTTACTTTTGACCCCCTTGGTCTATCTAGTTATTAAGCCATCCCTCACTTCTCCATAGTCAATTTCCTTTGAAACATCATCTTCCAAAAACCTTGGAGTCATCTTTGGCTCTTCTATATTTTTCACACACCATTATCCAGTCTATCATTAAAACATCAAAAAATACTGAGTCTGATTACTTCTCACCATCTCACGAGTACTCTGGCTCATTTGTCTCCCATTGGCATTATTGCAACAGGCGACCAGCTGGGCACCCACGCCACTCGGTTTGTTCTCTGTATAGCAGACAGCAGATTTTTTTTTTCCCCATCTAAAATCAGACAATGTCATTCCTCTGCTCAAACCCATTCCATTCCATTCCAAATAAAAGCTAGAGTCCCTAAATGTCCTTACAGGATCTGAACTCTCGTATCTGCTCTGACCTTCTGACTACTCCCCCTTGCTCCCTCTACTCCAGTCCGTCACATGGGCCTTTTGCTGTCACTTGACACATTTCTTTAGAAATTTTACCCTGGCGGGCTCTCTACCTGGAGTACTTTTCCTGCAATTACTTCTATTGCTTTATTTCTCACTTCTTTCAAGTCTTTCTTCAAATCTATTAATTGCAGTAAAATTTCCCCCACCCACCTACATAAAATTATGGGCCTCTCTCCCAGTCACTTTTTATTTTTTCCCCAAAGCACTCACTACCATCTGACATACTATGTATTTTCTTTGTTTGTTAATCGTATGCCTACCCCCACTAGTCTGTAAGCTAGGACACTCACTTACTACTCTCCACTGAGGTTTTCAGCTCCTGTTTATGTGTTTTCAAATATGTGTGTGTGTGTGTGTGTGTGTATTAGTATCTTACACTGGGGGTGGAGGGCCTTGGAGATTCCTCCTCATTCTGTAAGCCAAGCAATGCAATAAAATATTTAATCCAGGACCTATTTCTTGTTTGTTTCTCTGTTAATAGGAAGGCTCTTCAGAATATCTGAAGAATTATATTTAGAATTATCTGGAATAATACTTCAAGTAATACTATCTGGAATATATTCAGAATTATCTGGAATAATATTCCAAACTGATAGTAGGTGCAGTAAGGACAACGAATATTTCATTTGCAACATCCCTACACTCCCCCAGCCTGGTTGTCTTTCATAAATGGTATGTCCATCGACTCAATTTCTAAAGTCAGAAATTTAGGAGCCATTTTTGACTCCACCTTTTGCCTCACTACCATATTCCCTTTGGGGACCCAATTAGGCAACAACCACTGGCAAGAAAGGTGAATAAATTCATGGCAAGAAAAGGAATGAACAGTTTCACCCAAGTCCAAGCAGACACTGCAGATACTGAACATACATACTAGAATTCTGTGTACTCTCAATGTTTTAGAAAAAAATTGCAGGTTCCCCAAAAGGCAACTCAAAATTAGTGGCTGAGCCGCACATACCCAAATCCTTATCACAAACTCTCTGTCCTTCCTCCCATCTTAATGAATAGGGGGTGAAAGATTCTCCCTGCTGGCCTGATATAAGCAGTCATGTTGAGAAAGCAAGGAACAGGGCATTCAACTGGCAAAACCCAGGGCCCTGAGTCATACAAGGACAAGGAAATGGATTCTGTCAATAACCTCACTGTGCTTGGAGGTGGATCTTCCCCACTTGAGCCTCTAAATGAAGATACAGGCTGTCTGACACATTGATTTTAGACATCCCTGTGAGACCCTGAACAGAGGGACCCAGCTAGGCCATGCCTCAACTCCTGATCCATGAAAATCATAAGATAATAAATATATGTTGTTTTGAGCCACTAAATTTGTGGTAATTAATAGCAAACAAACAAACAAAAACTAACACACACTAGATTGTTGCATGGAAAATGAAAGGGGGTAGGCCACGCTCAGTTTTGGCTTCAACCCTTACCAGCAGTAACGTTGGACCTCAGTTTCCTCTTCTTTAAAATGGATGTGACAGTATATGCAGAAGGAGTTTAGTGAGGGAGTAAATACCTCATTTTATTTAAAGCAGCATTGGCACATGCTAGGTGTTACCTGTCAAATGCTAAGTGTGGTCTTCTGCAGGTGGAAAGCAAGAGGGAATGCCATTTCCACCTAAAGAGTATCACCCAGCTTGTAGCTGTCCCACAGAGATCCTGTCATTTCACCTCTCCATGGAATAGCCTAGTTCCTGCCTTCTGGTTTGAGTCTGTGGACTGATATTAGAGGACCCATCTTTAAGAAGCTTGAAAGTCAGAAGCAGGGGCAAAGGGCTGAGGCTGACAACTATAACCTAGTTGAAATAATAAAATGAGATGCATTTTTGAAATAACCAAGGCAGATGAAATCTTAAGTGTCTCCTGCTTAATATCACTTATTCTTTCCTAAAAATCAGGTATTCTGCATGAAGACAGTTCTTTCCCACCATTTTATTTTTATTTTTTTTCAACTCAATCATGAAATAAATTTATTTACAAAGAATCTACCACCATGAGAAAACATTTATGAAAATCTTAAACAGCACAAAGCTCTGAAGCTCCACTTAGGTGCAACAAACATGGCTATGAGACTAAGCAACTCTAGTCTTTTCCATAAAGTGAGTAAGATGTAACTCTGACAGAGTACATTGATCCTTGAAGCAGCAATCCTCAGATTTCAGTATGGCCCTGTGTATTTTTAAGGCTAGAATGAGCAATAGAGTTTTTAAGAATATATTGAGTGACAGAGGGCAATTCCATCAAGTGATTGGAACAAATGTGCATAGGTAACAAAACACTTCACATAGGTAGAATATTTATGCCATTACCAACCCATTTGGTTCCCTGTTTCATTAAGACAATTAGATTCTCTGGAGGAGGATGAGGTGGCTTTCTCAGCTTGTTAGTGGTTTAGGTTCTACTAAAGCTTGTGGTAGAACTACCTACCCTCAGGTAAATGCTTCTGTCTAGAAGAGGATTCCAGTTCTGTCAGCAGAGGGAACTTGACATTAAAAATCTAGGTCAAGAATCTATAGGATGAGTCTCATTAGAAAACTGAAATGTACAGAGACTTAGGTAAAAACCATTTCAAAGAATTCGTGAGCTTTAAGGTCAATAACATCTTTTCAGGGATGTAGTATGTGAAAAGAACCACCAACGCTACGTAGATAGTGAACAAAGAGCAGAAAAAAGTCTTTTGACTAAAATGGGGAAGACGGTAGAAAAATATTTACAATAAAGAATGGGTTCAGAATAAAATACTTTTTACAGGATGTTAAAAAATTAATCTTCAGCCATAATGAGGCCTCTCTGAGCTCCTAAAACCTTTGCTTTCTTCTCCTTTTGTCTTTGCTCATATTGTTTCGTTGTTCCTCCCTAGTCTTGTAGAGGAGGCTGTTCTTAAGTTTTCTTGTGGAAGGTAACTCTGTTTATATGCTCCCTCAGAGAATTATTTTCTTTAGACTGACCCCATGGTTTCAGCTTGCCTTTGTGTGGCTCATAGTTGAGGGGGCGAGACAGACTTGCTTTGAGATCAAACACTGGCTTCTTGCTGGAGACGGGAGTCTGTGCTGCCTGAGTTGTCAATTTTAATGGGCTAACAGAAGCAAAATTTCCATTTGTGGTCTTTAATTTGTACGTCCCGAGCGCAGCCTGGCCTTTTGGAGTACTCCCAAAGGTATGGTCACATGTGGAGACTTTCTGGCTGGAGTCTTGGTCAGTGAACACTTATGCTCATTATCTTTGGTAGCAGCTGAAAACCTGACGTTCATTTTAGTCGCTGAGAGAAGGGATCGCTTGGCGGAGCCCTTCCCACACAAGGTGTTCCAACCTGCAGCGGCCAGGGGCCGGCCCTGGTACAAGCCGCGGGGAGCCTTCCCCAGGGAGGAACTGGAGTCACCACTGCCCCCTTGGTGACCGGCTGCTTCTTCAGTTCATTAAATGAACTGTGTTCTTCAAAATGTTTCTTTTTTCTCTCAATGTATTGATCAATGGACTCCATTTCCTTAAAATGACCCTCATGAAGCTTCTTAAAGTTTGGAGTAGTGCTTATATTTCTTTTGCTTTTTCCAGGTTTCGAAAACCCATCTGTGTAGAGAGGCTTCTTTCTTTCTGAAGGTACCTTTGAATCTTCATTACCATTTATTCTTCTTTTTCCTGAGGAAACAGCATTCTCCTCTCCTTGGCTCTCCTTGGTGGTGAAGGAACTTCTGCAACTGTTCTGAGATTCTGGTTTTCCTGCTTCTCTTGATTCTGCAATTCAGCGTGATCACTTATTTTGATCTCTGAATCATGCTGCTGGGAGTCCGGGTTCCTGTGGACCGTCCTGCACCTTCTCCTGGTTTTGGTGCCATGGCCAACCGGCTCCCTCTCAGCTTGTTCCTGGCTGCCGCTCTGCATCTCAGCCTGGTCACAAGATGATGCGGAAGTTTGACTTCCATCCCGATTATCATTTTCTTTTTTTACCTCGTGTTTAAGGCGGGCTTTCAAGGCTTTTAACAACTTGTGTGCCCTCAGGTTAGCCCAGAGGCCCAGATTCTTGGCCAAGTTCTGCAGGTGGCTATACTTGAAGGAGTCCAGCTCCTCAAGGGAGGGTCCGGCCACGGCGAGCTGCATCCAGGCGACCACGCAGAGGACGCCTACTCCAGCCTCGGCAGTGCAGTTCAAAACTCTGGTGCCTCTTTCCCACCATTTTAAAGGAAAAACCATATGCTATTAGTCAACCCAAACTCCCATCCAATGTCCCAAAGTGTAAGTAAGAGGCAGTAAAATATCTAGTCATAATAAATATTAAATAGTAATATTTAATAGTAAATTAACAGATCAGGTTATAAAAATGCTTAAAGTACTATAATTCCTTGATCACCAAATAATCACAATGGTTGGTAACAAACTGATGCTTTTTTTTTTGCAGTGCATGGCTGCAGTTTGAGTCAGTACCATCCTGGGGACACTACCCCTTTATTGACACAGCATGCTTTTCAAAACTTCTCCACATGATTCTGATGATCTATC